TCTGCTGTTAAACTGGAGCCAGTCATAAGCACACTGCCCAGGTATGGGAAACTCTCCACTCTCTCCACAACTGCCCCATCACCGATTGGGAGTTGTGGGGGTGGAGTGTCCGATGGTACAAAATACCCAGGCAGGTGCTTAGTTTTGGTGGGGCTGATGGTAAGGCCCCACCTCTTAGTGGCACGCTCCAGTCTCAGCAGCAGCGTCTGCAACTCCTCCTCTGACTGAGCAGCTATTACCAAGTCATCAGCATACATAACGTGGTTGAGCAATAGGGAGCCATCCCTTGACCGCACCCGGGCATCGATTAGCCTCCCATTATATCTGTACCATATGGAGATTCCCCCGGTACAGCTATTGAAGGCTTCACGAACTACGTGGTCAAAATAGATGTTAAATAATGTGGGAGCCAGAGGACATCCCTGTCGCACCCCAAGGTGTACAGGGAATGGCTCTGACTCCCGGCCACGTAGTTTTACCCGGGCCCGCTCACCATCATGAAGGTCCTTAATGATCGTGAGCAGAGGGTCAGGTACTCCAAAAGCACGAAGAACGACCCAGAGCCCAGGCCTACTGATGGTATCATAGGCCTTGACCAGGTCAATAAAGCAGAGATGTAGGTCTTGTTGGAATTCCCTACACCTCTGCTGTAGCAGACGGACAGAAAATATGGCATCTGTGCAGGACCGCCCTTTCCTGAAACCGCATTGGGGCTCCGCAAGCCTCTCCTCAGCGTGCCTGGCAAGGCGATGCTGAATAATCCTTGCCAGGACCTTTCCCGGCACACTGAGGAGTGAGATGCCCCTGTAGTTGTTACAGTCTGTGCGGTCCCCCTTCTTAAAAAGGGGGACCACCAGGGCATCCTTCCAATCCTGCGGAACCCGTCCAGTGGTCCAGACTGTTGTTATGATGTCATATAGGGCAGTCTGTGCACAAACGCCACCCTCCCTCAGCATTTCGCTTGGGAGATCATCTCTGCCCGCTGCCTTTCCTGGTCTCAGACTCCGGATCGCCTTCAATACTTCCTCAGCAGATGGCACCTCAGCCAGCCACTCACAGGGGGTGACTTCATCCAATATTTGAGGCACCGCAGCCTCAGCAGGGTCATCCTCACTTTGTGCCACGATGTTTTCCTGGCTGTGGGATTTTCCCTCCCCCAGGACCTCACAGAAATGCTCAGCAAATCTGCGAACCTGTTCCTGGGGGTCGGAAATTGGATCACCGTTTTTTCCCCTAATGATGGTAATAGGTGTGGCGCTGCAGGTTACTTTTTTGATGGAGTTAAATAGCGATTTGTGATCACGGGCCACTGAGGCAGACTCCATCTCCTCAGCAACCCGCGACCACCACCCATCCTTGCAGCGCCTCACGGCTCTCCGAACCTCCGAGCGAAGGCTGCGGTAAGCCTCCTCATTCTCTGACGTGGGATTCTGTAGCCGATGACAGTGGGCCTGTCGCTTTTTCTCAACCATCCTGAACAACTCCTCTGTCATCCAGGGTGTCTGGGGAGGTCTGGACCGCGTACCCAAAGCAGCCATTGCAGCTGCATGAGTCACAGTCCTAAACCTCGCCCATTTACCCTCGACATCAGGAGGAGTCGGGGACGATGCCAATCCCAGCCGCAAGCGATGATGAAATTCTCGCTTGCAACTTTCATCAGATAACTGAGACCAGGCCACTTTAGGTTGGAATGGGGTCCTGGGTGTACACCCACCACCGGAGTGGAAGAATGGCAGGCGCATCTTACAGATGACTAGTCGATGGTCAGAGGGCAGATCAGCTCCACGGTAGGTCCTGGTGTCAAGGACATGGGCTCGCATTCGCTGGTCCGTCACTATGTAGTCCAGCAGATGTTCTTGCTTGGACCCGGCATGCATCCATGATGTTGTGTGGATGCGCCGATGCCGGAACAGCGTGTTGGTAATTACAAGCCCATGGGCTGCACATAAATCTAGCAGCCTCCTACCATTGTTATTGAGCTGATCTGGCCCATGCCCTCCAATCACTCCAGACCAGGTGCCAGTATCATGACCAACTCGGGCATTGAAGTCACCCAACATGATGACTCTATCCCGAGGGGCCACTTTAGCCAGCACCTGTGACAGGAGGTCATAGAAGGCATCTGACTCATCGGCTTTGCCTGCATCCCTCCACGGATGTTCATCTTCGGTGGGGGCATAAGTAACCACGACCACCATTCCTCGCCTCCGGTTGATGGGAAGGCGAGCCCAAAGTAGCCTGGGGCTTACAGCTTCCCACACCTCACCGCCACGCTCCCACGCCCCCTTCATTCTTTTGTTCAAAAGAAGACCCACACCCTGTTGTTTGGCAGTCTGCTGCCCCGAGTAGAGGACTGTCCACCCCTCATGGTGGCAGGAGCCAGAGCCGGTCCACCGGACCTCCTGAATGCCGCATAGATCCAGGCGGTACCGGTCCAGCTCCCGACAGAGGAGTGGCAGCCTCTCCTCTGCAGTGAGCGTTCGAACATTCCACGTGGCCACCCGTAGTGGCTTTTCGTTGTTTCTGGAGTAGCCCCGAGGGTAGGTATTCAATCTCCTGGCTCCGCCAATTGGGGTTTGGCCAGGAGACGTCATAGACGCCTGGCCCCCCGGGGCCTCCGGCACAAGCTTAGTTGTTACATATTTCACTTTAATTCGTGGTTTTGTGGTAATTAATTGAAGGTGGAGGGGTTACCAGCCCCTCGCACCCGTCCAGAGCCCCCGTTTAGCCCCTGTGGTGGACACATATGCCATGAGGGGAGGAGCCAATCAAAATTGGAACTCCCCCCACAGCACTGTCCACGAAAGAGTTGCCCGTCCGGCACCGCGAGGAGGTAGGGGGTTGTTTTACACACACACACATACACACACACACACATACACACACATACACACACACACATATTCTCATGCGTGTCTCCCCATACCCTCGTGTGCTCCCGTATCCCTCCCCCCCCCCCCCCGTGTCCGTCCGAGTGTCCCCGAGTACCCCGCGTCTCCGTGTCCTCGTAACCCCGTGTCTCCGTGTCCTCGTAACCCCGTGTCTCCGTGTCCTCGTAACCCCGTGCATCTCCCCATGTGTAACTGTTACCACGTGTGCAGGCATATGTGACAAAGGTTGTGTTGTCATGTCCCCGTGTCCCCGTGTCTCTGCGCTGTATCCCCGTGTCTCTGCGCTGTCTCCGTGTCCCCGTGTCTCTGCGCTGTATCCCCGTGTCTCTGCGCTGTGTCTCCGTGTCTCCGCGCTGTGTCTCCGTGTCTCCGCGCTGTATCCCCGTGTCTCCGCGCTGTGTCTCCGTGTCTCCGCGCTGTGTCTCCGTGTCTCCGCGCTGTGTCCATGTCCACGTGCCTCACCTGCACGGTGCGGGTTTTTCCATTGATGCTGATCCGCAGGAGCGGAGACGCGAGGTTGATGTCGCCAATAACTTCTAGCTTCACTCCGTCCAGTTCGACCTGAACCATCACCACCATCACCACCATCATCCCCATCATCATCACCATCACCGCCACTCGCACACAGAGCCTATCACCTCGCCTGACGCGCACTCAGACGCCCATCCAACCACATATGCACGCTCTCACAGACTCTCACTTGCCTCGTACAAAACTCACGCTGGCACTCACGGGCCCTCACTCCCACATGCTCCAACAACGATAAAGATCGCTTGTAAAGCTTTAACAAACTGTTGGGGCAAGTGCTGTTAGCGAGCACCTATGAAGGCCGGAACGGTACACGAGGAGGTGCTTGGCCAGCACCACGCCCGACCGCCTTTGTCTCCCCAGTGACGATGTTTTTACACATCGTATCAGGTACTCTTTTGAGGCCGAGTCAACCTAGGAGAGGCCCATGACCGGTTCAGATAATCATCACCTGGTGTTGGCCATGAGTGGGAATCGAACTCGGCTCGCGGGGTTCATATCGCAGCGCGCTAACCGCTACACCACCGGTTCCCCACACACTCCAACACGCACACACACGCCACAACACGCGCACACACACGCCACAACACGCGCACACACACACCACAACACGCACACACACACACGCCACAACACGCACACACGCCACAACACGCACACACACACGCCACAACACGCGCACACACCACACCACAACACGCGCACACACCACATCACAACACGCGCACACACCACAACACGCGCACACGCCACAACACGCACACACACACGCCACAACACGCACACACCACACCACAACACGCGCACACACCAGCCACAACACGCGCACACCAGCCACAACACGCGCACACAGCACACCACGCGCACACACCACACCACGCGCACACACCACACCACAACACGCGCACACACACACCACAACACGCGCACACACACGCCACAACACGCGCACACACCACAACACGCGCACACACGCCACAACACGCGCACACACCACACCACAACACGCGCACACACACGCCACAACACGCGCACACACACGCCACAACACGCGCACACACACGCCACAACACGCGCACACACCACGCACACACACACCACAACACACACATACACCACAACACACACATACACCACAACACACACATACACCACAACACACACATACACCACAACACACACATACACCACAACACACACATACACCACAACACACACATACACCACAACACACAACACACACACACACAACACACACACACACACCACAACACACAACACGCACACACACACCACAACACACAACACGCACACACACACCACAACACACAACACGCACACACACACCACAACACACAACACGCACACACACACCACAACACACAACACGCACACACACACAACACGCACACACCACAACACACAACACGCACACACCACAACACACAACACGCACACACACACCACAACACACAACACGCACACACACACCACAACACACACACACCACAACACAACACGCACACACACACCACAACACAACATGCACACACACACCACAACACACACACACAACACACACACACACAACACACACACACACAACACAACACACAACACGCGCACACACACCTCGTAGACCCCCTGCAAGCCGAGGTCCCCCACCACCCTCACTCCGTGGCTCTGCCCGTCCAGGGACACGGCCAGGTCCAGGGTCTCTGGGCGCGGCTTGTTCAGCATCGGCCTGCAGCAGTAGCAGTGGCAGCAGCAGCCGCACGTCAGGGATGGCACAGGACAGACGCGTGTGTACGTACGTGTGTGTGTACCAGAGTGGTTGAGAATGGTTGTGCATGCTCCTATGGGTGTGTGCGTGTATAACGGTGGTGTCGCGGTTAGTGTGCCTTGCTATGAACCCGGCAACCCAGGTTTCGATTCCCGCTCACGGCCAACACAAGTGGCAATTATCTGAACCGGTCCTGGGCCTCCCCTAGGTCGAATCCGCCTCAAATGAGGACCTGGTGCGGTTTTTGAATATCGCCACTGGGGAGACAAAGGCGGTCGGGCGTGGTGCCGTCCACCGACCCCCTCGTGTGCCGTGCCGACCTTCATTAGGTGCTCGCTAACACCACTTGCCCCAACAGTCACAGGCTATACGGGGATCTTTGTCTTTGTGTGTGTTTGCGCCCCAGGTGTCTGCTGGACAGGAGGTGATATTTGTGTGTATGAATGTGTGTGTGTATATATTCGTGTGCGCGCGCGTGTACACGTGCACTGATTGAGGAAGGCTCACACGTGCTCCTCTATGTGCGTGCGTATATCCATGTGTATTTGTATGGGCTTGTGTTCGTGTGTGCGTGTCTTTGTATACGTGTGTGTGTGTGTGTGCACGTGCAGCTGGGCTGGTTGAGGAACATTTGCGCGCGCTCCTCTGTGTGCGTGTGTATATACGTGTATGGGTTTGTGCTCATGTGCTCGTGTGTGTTCGCGTGCGTGTGTCTTTGTAAACGTGTGTGTGTGTGTGTGCATACGTGTGTGTGTGTGTACCTGGGCTGGTTGAGGAACACTCGCGCGCGCTCCTGGTAACGTGCGTAAATGCAGGCGGTGACCGCGATCAGCTCCTTCCTCTCCACGTTGCTCAGCACCCGGCCTCACACAACATCATCAACGATATCAACATAATTCACAACAGCAACAATTACAACGACAACACTAACAAACTGTAACACTAAACCTCAGTGCTGTGGAGAAGGGCCATTGCCCGAAACGTCACATTATACGGTTTTTCCTTTGAGTGTAGTTGACAAGTTCTTTGAGCTTTTGTTGTTAATTGTGCCACTGCCAACGCAGCAGCAGCATCGCCAAACCATTAGTCCTCCGTGTTAGTGATGTCTAGGGTAAGGATTAGGGGTTCGGGCGAAGGTTAGTGTTAAGGCTATGGTCAGAGATACGGTCAAAGTTAGGGCTATGGTCAGGATTAGGGTCATGGTTAGGTAGAAGATGTAGGGTTAGAGTAAGGGCTATGGTTGGGGTCATGGCTCAGGCACAGGTTAAGTAGCTAGTGTCAGGGTTAGGATTAGAGGATTAAGGGTGAGGGTTACAGTCAAGGTTAGGGTGCGAGAAGAGGTCACGAGTTCCGGAAGGGTCAGTTGTGCTCGGCGAAGGACGGGGGGGTGGTCGGACACCGGGAGGTCGAGGGTCGTGGTGGTGCGAGTGAGCCTCACCTTTGAACCCTTCTGGGTAGACCTCGGGCAGGAACTTGGTGGAGATGTCGCCGGTGATGAAGCGCTGGTTAGTGATGATCTCCCTCAGCAGGGGGATGTTGTGGGTGACTCCTGCAGGGAGAGGCAGGAAACAAGAGTCAACAACAACAGCCGCCATCCGCCACTCAGGAGATCTGACGTCTCAACGGCACTTGTGCCAGGCTGTGTGCACTTTAAGGCCACGTGAAGTGTCGAAGGCTTGCTGGCAGGAGGTCACGGGAAAGACCCAGGTGGCATGGGTTAACCGACTGAAATGACTGGAAAGAGTCACCCACATTACCACAACAGTCCTTCACATCGCCCCACCCACTGGCGGAGGGGGGGTGGCACGTGCCCCCCCAATCGAAATTCCCCCCCAATCGACTCGCAGCATTGTGCGAAGTTGCGTATACAGTACACGACTTCCCTGAAGGCATTCACCTTCAGCGAGCGCGATGGCGATCACACAACGCGGTTCGAATTCGACCCTCGATCGATGTCTGCGCCATCGCCGTACACGCGTCGAATAAAAAGCAAGGGACAAGTCCTTACTTACTAACAACTCCTTACTAACAACTCCTTACTTACTAACAACTACTTACTAACAACTCCTTACTAACAACTCCTTACTCACTAACTACTCCTTACTTACTAACAGCTCCTTACTTACTAACAGCTCCTTACTTACTAACAACTCCTTACTTACTAACAACTCCTTACTTACTAACAACTCCTTACTAACTAACAACTCCTTACTAACTAACAACTCCTTACTAACTAACAACTCCTTACTAACAACTCCTTACTAACAACTCCTTACTCACTAACTACTCCTTACTTACTAACAACTCCTTACTTACTAACTACTCCTTACTTACTAACAAGTCCTTACTTACTAACAACTCCTTACTTACTAACAACTCCTTACTTACTAACAACTCCTTACTTACTAACAACTCCTTACTTACTAACAACTCCTTACTTACTAACAACTCCTTACTAACTAACAACTCCTTACTCACTAACTACTCCTTACTTACTAACAACTCCTTACTCACTAACTACTCCTTACTTACTAACAACTCCTTACTCACTAACTACTCCTTACTTACTAACAACTCCTTACTTACTAACTACTCCTTACTTACTAACAACTCCTTACTCACTAACTACTCCTTACTTACTAACAACTCGTATCATTTTTTATTGCTGGAGGGGTTGCCCCCCCTCCCTAGCTGAAAATCCTGGCTACGCCATTGGCCCCACCCTTACACGTGACCTCATACGTAGGAGGGGCTGCCCACTCGTGATGAAGAAGATGACGAGGACTCATTACCCCGGATAACGTAGCTGTCCAGAGCTTCCACCATCCTCCGAAGTGCCTCTTTGCGATCCCCTCCGTACGTGACGAGCTAAACGACGGGGAGGACAAACACCAACCTAAACCATCAATCCGTGCAGCGTCACAAGGACCTGTCAAGTGCTGGCACGGCGCACTATGGGGGTCGTGCGACCAGCACCACACGCACACGCCCAGCCGCATCCGTCTGTGAAACGCTGACGTTTACTCACGCCACCGGGGTAATCGTTTAATGCAGAGTCGACTTCCTGGGAGGCACGCAAACTGGTTCGGATCCGAGGTGACTCGCCACCGACGTTAGCCGTGAACCGGGAATCGAACCAAGGTCGGTGAATTCACAGCTCGGCGCGGAGGGTTGTGGCGAAATGTCTCAGAGCGAGTCTCAAGACTCCTCTTCAGGAGGTTCCTGCTACATTTGGAATGCTTAAGAGAATTCTACGAATACATGTCAGGACGTCCCAGCGGGTTTGCGAGCTTCACGCGTGTCTGGGTGATCCGACAACTCCTCGCAGGAGTGCAACTCCCCGCGAGGCTGCTCATGACACGGACGTGACGACGCTACCTTGGAGATCATGGGGTCGTAGAAGATGCTGATGTCGCTGCCCTCCGTGATGCCACTGTCTACACGCACCTGCAAAGACAAAGATCCCCCGTATAGCCTTAACAGACTGTTGGGGCAAGTGCTGTTAACGAAAACCCTATGAAGGCTGGGACGGCACACGAGGTGGTGGTGGGTGGCCAGCACCTCGCCCGACCACCTTTGTCTCCCCAGTAGCAATGTTTTTACACGCTCCACCAGGTACTCATTTGAGGCCGAGTCGATCTAGGGGAGGCCAGCAGCCGGTTCAGATAATCGTGACCGATGTTGGCCGTGAGCGGGAATCGAACTCGGGTGGCCGGGTTCGTAGCGCAACGCGCTAACCGCTACACTACCGCTTCCCATATGCGCACCTAGAGAAATAGAAAGATCCCCCGTATAGCCTTTACAAACTGTCGGGGCAAGTGCTCTTGGTGAGCATCAATGAAAGCCAGCACATATAGACACTCGCACACACAAACACACAAACACACATACACACACACAAACACAAATACACCCAGGCAGGGTGGCTGGGTTGAGGAGCGAGGGGCGAGGGGGCCTCACGTTGGTCAGGTGGGTCGGCTCCCGGTACTGGGACAAGCGTCCAACGGATGGCAAGCCAAACGACTTGTACGGGTCCTGCACACAGGGATACACATGGGGACGCACACACACATATAATACAACCATATAGAATAATATTCATATTCCTGGCCCTTTCGGTAAAGTCACGCAGAAGGGAAACAATAAAACAATAAAAGTAAAACAATAACATTCTCACGACATATTGATTGCAACACAAGCAACCACCATCAGGTGTAAAAACCAAGCAATAAATTTTGAAAAAATGAAACTTATAGAATAACTTGTGCAAAGAGCGCCATATAGCCTGAACAGAGGGTGGGTGGGGGGGGCAGGGGTAGTGCGGCCTGAACCAGACATAGCCCAACTTTGTCTCCCCAGTGCTGACGCTTTTACACATCGCAGCAGGTACTCATTTAAGGCCGAGTCGACCTAGGGGACGCCCAGGACCGGTTCATACATTCGTCACCGATGTTGGCCGTGAGCGGGAATTGAACTCGGGGCGCAGGGGCAGTTGCGCTAACCACTGCACAAACACAACACACACACACAAAGACAAACACACAGGCAGACATTCAGCCACAAGGCCGCACTGATGGTTTGGCCGACCTCTGCGTAGACGCGGCACTCGATGGCCCAGCCCCGGATGGGAACCTCGGACTGGGAGAGGCGCAGGCGGTGGCCCGCGGCCACGCGGATCATCTCCATGACGAGGTCCAGCCCCGTGATGCACTCCGTGATGGGGTGCTCCACCTACATCACCAGTATCAGCCACAGCATCATTAATATCATCAACAATCACCGGCATCGGCGTCACTAACCTTTTCCCGTTACGACGATGTATGCGTACGTCATGAGTTTTTCTTCCGATTCCGTTCCCATGTCAAAAAGGCCGGGCATGTCTGTTCAGGCTCTACGGGGGATGTTTGTCTTTGTACGAGACCTGCAGGCGCGTGTTCATCTCCAGGAAATAGAAGTTCCTCTGGGAGTCGACGAGGAACTCGACGGTGCCGGCCGAGGAGTAGCGCACGGCACGCGCCAGCGCCACCGCCTGCTCCCCCATCGCACGGCGCGTCTGTGTGTCCAGGAACATGCTACACACGCGCAACACACGCGCAACACACGCGCAACACACGCGCAACACACGCGCAACACACGCGCAACACACGCGCAACACACGCGCAACACACGCGCAACACACGCGCAACACACGCGCAACACACAGGCGTCATTGGGGGAAAATAAAAAATTTAATTCGAAATTCTCACAGGAGCAGCCAAAGCATTTGTGTTAGAGGGCAGCCCGTGGAAGAGGATATCACGGAGCTACTGCCAAGAATCCCTTCAGGCAGAGGCGTACAATTAAAAGAGGGGCAGTGTCTCTCTACCTCGGGGCCTCCTCCACCACCTTCTGGTTGCGTCTCTGTACAGAGCACTCGCGCTCGTTCAGCCACAGTGCGTTCCCGTGCTCATCCGCCAGCACCTGCATAGCAAAGACACACACACAAAAGACGAAGATCCCCCCCCCACGTAGCCTTTAACAAGACTGTCGAGGCAAATGCTGTTAGCGAGCACCTATAAAGGCCGGCACGGCTCTCCAGTGGCGATGTTTTTACACACTGTACCAGGTTCTAATTTCAGGCCGAGTCAACCTAGGGGAAGCCCAGGACCCATTCAGATAATCGTCACTGGAGGTAGCCATGAGCGGGAATCGAACCCGGGTTGCCACAGTTCGTAGCACAGCGCGCTAACCGCTACACTACCACTCCCCACACACACACACACACACGCGCACACATCACACGCGCACGCGCACACACACACACACACACGCACATATCACACACGCACGCGCACACACACACACGTCCACATCTCACCGAGCGTCCACCCCGCGAGTTTGACGCCATCGTCCCTGCCAGTGGCGAGGGCGATGGGAGCGCGACGAGGTGCGTGTTGATGCCGCGGGCACCTGTATCTCGATGTGTCGGGGGTTGTCGATGAATTTCTCGATGAGGAGGCGATCGTCTCCGAAGCTCGACGCCGCCTCCTGAGAGGAGAAGCGGAAGCCCTCCCTGCGTACGGAACCAAGACAAAGATCCCCCCCACGTGTAGCCTTCAGCAGACTGTTTGGGGGGCCAGGTGCCGTGAGCGAGCGCCGATGAAGGCCGGCACAGCACACGAGGGGGGGGGGGGGGGGTTGGGAGGCAAGCACCACGCCCAGCCGGCTTCCTCTCTCCAGCGCTGAGGTTTACAAAGCAGGTACTCATTCAAGGCCGAGTTGACCAAGGGGAGGGGACCAGGACTGGTTCAGATATTCGTCACCAATCGTAGTGCAGTTCTCTAACTGCCACCCACACAACCAATCCCCATAACACACACGCACACAAAAGCAAAGATCCCCAATGTAGCCTTAACAATGCATCCAGTGCTCTGCGGTGTAAAGTCACATGTAGCGTTCGCTAAATAAATAATGAATCGGAATACTCAGTGGAGTTAATATGAAAGTTACACTTCAGGTTCTATACTGTAGATACTACATATTCACAGCAATATAGATTAGATTGCAATAAAATGTTTACTTATTTATCCAAGAAAGCTATAACAGAGCTATTGGGCTTTACTTCAGGAGGGTCCTGCATTGGATTTTTTTTTTTAAGATGTTAGTAGCCAATTAATCACGAGTGTTTACACGATAGATATTACTTGTGCACACACGCACTTAGTCTCCTCGTCGTTCCACGCGATCCTCATCCCTTTGCCGCCTCCACCAGCAGAGGCCTTGATCATTACAGGGTAACCTGTAAAACACACGTACAACAACACTCATTCACACGCACACACAGGAATAGCAACAACCACCATTCGCCACTAAGCGGTGTTGACGTTACCACGGCACTTGTGCCATACTGGGTGCACTTTGAGGCCACGTGAAATGTCGAGGACCCGCTGGCAGGAGATCACGGAACAGGCCCATGTGTCAATAGGTTGACTGTCTGAGATAAATGGCCGATGCACCAAGTGTGCTCCCCAACGTTCCAAATCAGAGTTTTAGCTGTCCGATGCTCCGCTCGCTATTGCGAGCGTCACTCCTCTGCCCTCTGTTGTTCCTGCAGGCCGACTGCCTTCAACTCCCCAGCAGCGTCCTTCCCGAACCTCCTCCACAAGAGGCTAATCTTTACACTGCTAGTACCAGTCATCGGCAAGTCCAATCGGCTCCACATTATTCTGTACCACATTAGTCCATCTCTTCTCTAGCCCGTGCTGCGCTCGTTTAGCCCTATCTATCTGGCCAAACAGAAGCTGTTTGGGGGCATGCAGTGGCTGGGCATTCGGTCTACGTGACCCAGCCAACGCAGCCTCGCTTGCCGGAGAAGCTCACGGATGGCAACACGCACACACACACAAACATGTACAAGAATACAAAACACACACAGACATTGAACACAAACAAACACGTCTCTCACCTGTAACGCCACCATGCTCGGTACTAAACTCGCATGCACGGTTATTTCGTTTAACCAGGTGAAAACTCAAAGAGACCAGGATAAGCCTTATTTGCAAGGGTGACCTGGGGCATTAGTCTGCCAGTCGGAGGTGATGCTTGCTGCTACGTATAGTTCCAACGGAGCAATTTGCAGTGTCAATTTGTAAACTGGCAAATTTTCACCCCGATGGTGGCAGGCAATGGCCTGCACACCCGCAACAACAAACTCAGGACGGCCACTGGATCACTGGATTCCAAAATGCGAACCTCTGCAGTGTGTAGAGAACCCGCTACCACTGCCGTCTCTTTTGATCACGTGGTCCCTTTGGAGGACCGCTCTCAGAGTCTCGATTCAGCGCGATCCTCGCTCCCCCCCCCACCCTACCCCTCGTTCCGTCCGCGCGACGCCCACTCACCGATTTCGCGCGCAATTTTCACGGCGTCTTTCGTGTTCTGGGGAATTCACAAAACGCATAAATGAAGAAATTTACCCCACGAGAACAGTCGGGCCCTGCTGACCAACAACAGCCAATGGAATCGGAGTGTTGAGGAGCGCGCGTTTGATGGTCAACGATTGGTCTAGTGCAGAGGGTCGGCAACCAAAAAAACAAGACGACATTTTTTTCGTATTCAGTAAAAAAAAACCTAAATATTTCAACAGCCGCAATGCGTGCGAAAAACGTCACCAAGCAGCCCTTAAAAAGCCGCATGCGGCTCCGGAGCCGACCCCTGGTCTAGTGGGATAGCAGGTGGAGTAGCAAGCAGGTGGGATAGCAGGTGAGTGGGAGAGCAGGTTAGCAAGCACCACAGCAGGTGGCTGAGATAGCGGGTGGGCTAGCGGGCAGGGCTGCAGGTGTGTGGCTAGCAGGCTAACAGGCGGGCAGGGATCCAGGTGTGTGGATAGCAGGCTAACAGGTGGGCAGGGCTCCAGGTGTGTGGCTAGCAGGCTAACAGGTGGCAGGGCTCCAGGTGTGTGGATAGCAGGCTAACAGGTGGCAGGGCTCCAGGTGTGTGGATAGCAGGCTAACAGGTGGGCAGGGCTCCAGGTGTGTGGATAGCAGGCTAACAGGTGGCAGGGCTCCAGGTGTGTGGATAGCAGGCTAACAGGTGGGCAGGGCTCCAGGTGTGTGGATAGCAGGTCAACAGGTGGCAGGGATCCAGGTGTGTGGATAGCAGGCTAACAGGTGGGCAGGGCTCCAGGTGTGTGGATAGCAGGCTAACAGGCGGCAGGGCTCCAGGTGTGTGGATAGCAGGCTAACAGGCGGCAGGGCTCCAGGTGTGTGGATAGCAGGCTAACAGGCGGCAGGGCTCCAGGTGTGTGGATAGCAGGCTAACAGGTGGGCAGGGCTCCAGGTGTGTGGATAGCAGGCTAACAGGTGGGCAGGGCTGCACCTTGACGACGCCGTCGAAGCCCGGGATGGTGTTGACCCCGGCGGTCTTGGCGATGAGTTTACTCTCGATCTTGTCACCCATCGCCTGCAGCGCGTGCGTGTCGGGCCCGATGAATTTAACCCCTTCCGCAGCCTGAAACGCACGCACAAACGCACGCGTGCCACGTGAATGCGGATGCATGCAAGCGTGGACGTGCACACCGACGGTGCACGCATAAAAAACACGTTTGCAGTACACAAACACTTGCACACAAGGGCAATGGAGCGTATACATACAGTACGAGTGATAACATACAGTACGATGGATTTTTCCGTATCGAACACCGATAGCCAGTAAGGCAGGCCACAACATGCCTGTAACACCCATTTTTGTTATGCATGGTGGTCGCTTATCTGAGCATTATCAAGCCCCAAATCCCTGCTTAGCTTCTGAGATCAGGTAAAAATGGGCACATTGATCGTTAAAAACGAAAAAAAATTGTGAAATCGAAAAAAAATGTTTAAGAACGATTTTAAATTGTGATGATCATTTCCACGCTCAGACCGTCTCACCAGCTGTTTTGCAAACTCCTTGTTTTCTGACAGGAAGCCATACCCAGGATGCACCTGCATAACAAGAAATTGTAAAAGCCACGATCATCATCATCATCGTCGTCGTCACCATCACCACCATCATCAACCCCACTATGGCCATCAAATTTCCCCGCGACCGCCGCAGTGAATCATGCCGAGACCCTGGGCTCAAGCCCCAGGTCTGGGCGACTCTCGCTCAGAGAGTTCACGACAGGCAATTACGAATCACTGAATCGGCACCGCTGACATCCAATGATCCAATCTTGAGTATCGGCCGCATGCGATTACACTGGGTTCTCAGGTGTAGTGGGCTCAGCTCATTAACCAGTGGCTGCACAATAAAAACAAAAAAAACATCAGGCTATATCCGGTTTTCTACTTAAATTGTCCCAATCACGGCTCTTGAGAATTAAAACATCGGTTTGACCGTCATGCGACTAACATCACTCTCTACAGCCGAGCGGGTGGGAAAGCGCTGCCCCCTACTGTATTGGAGCAGCGCTCGACACGGTGAGCAGGTAGCAGCGGCCGCTTGACCTCACAAGTTGTTCCGTGTAATCCGCTTCCGGGGGCCCTTCTCCAACATGAAAGGCTGCACCGGGTACTGCTAAGAGATCCGAATGGGTTCTTGGGTCTCGTCACTTCACCATTTATCCATAGTACAATCGCAATAAAACTTGAGGGAGTGGGGGAAAAAAAAAAGATATTAACCCCTTTTCCAGTGCCAATGACGGCTGTGTACGTCATCGGTTTTTAATTCAGATTCCGTACGCTTCATTTATCGGGAACGGAATCAGAAGTAAAAGGCTGTGCGGGAGGGCGTGGGGCACAGTTTAAGTGCCAGCTATCGTAGGGTGCGGCCGTGTCGCTACAGTTCTGTCCGGTGAGTACAGTCACAATGTCTTTTAAAAACAGAGGCGCTGCACCTCTCTAAATCAAATGTAAATGATTAAAAACTATAAACTAGTTTTATTTTACGAGGTAAGGCCCACTGAGCTACACAGTTTTTTTTAGAAGCGACCTGGCCACAAATGATAGCTCAACGAAGTGGCTTATCATCACGTGGACATTTTTAGCAGTCAAACACTCTAAACACATGTTCATTCAAAATGTGGAGGTAAAAACTGGAGCCGGATAAAAATCCACACGACCACGGGGAGAGAGAGAGAGAGAGACATGCAAACTACAAATATAAAGCAGGCGTCAAGGTCGAAATCGAACCCACGACCTCCTGCATACCAGGCAAAGCAGTTAACATCTCGCTACCGTGGAAAATAACGCAGAGCCGCATTGTGCGTTCCAAGATTCAGCGGTGAACGAGACCCCCACCCCCACAACCACAACCACCAACCCTGCAACTTGCAAACGTCTCGGAAACGGGAAAGGTGTTAAAATAGCGAGCGGCGCGAGGACTGTCCTGCGCTTGCATGCGGTCATAATCAAAGTTTTTTTTTTTAAGTTTAAGAACGCAAGCGAGCGGCACGTGAAGCGCGATGGCCGTTGTCCCTCACCGCCTGCGCGCCCGACGTCTTCACGGCGTCGAGGATGGCCGCCATGTTGAGGTAGCTCTGGGCGGTGGGGGCCGGGCCCACGCAGAAAGCCTCGTCAGCCATCTTCACGTGCACCTAACACCAGGCACGAGGTGGGGGGGGGGGGGGCAAATACGGCCACGAGAGTGAAGGTGGTGGAGGTGGTAGTGATGGCAGCGATGGTAATGATGGTGATGATGATGATGATGAAAGTGGTGGTGGTGCTGATGATGGCTATAGTGACGGCAGTAGGAGTGGTGATGAGGATGGCGAGGGTTGTATTGACAGTGTGCATCTAGAACTTATTTCGCACCGTGCGAATCGGAGGTGCAGGGTTAGGACAAACAAACTATACACAAAAAGCAGTTCTAAAGAAATTAGTTTTCAATCTAGATTCCAAAGTGCATAGCTCCAGTGGCTTCTTAATATCGGAAGGAAGAACATTCCAGACGGCCGCAGAAGTTCATCTGAAAGTGCGCGATGCGGTGACCGTCTTTGCTCAATGGTTAGCCAAAATCCTCTGCGAGGTGATGTGGTAGTAAAATTGTAATAATTATTATAACGATGTTTGACGGGCAGGATTATGATGATAATGATGGCAACAGTGGTGAGGATGATGATGATGATGACAATGTTTGATGGTCAGTATTAAGACGATGATGGCGACGTTGGTAAGGATCATGATGACGACAACGATGTTTGACAGACAGGATTATGACGATTACGACGACGGTGGTGAAGATGATGATGTTCACTGCGATCTTGATGATGACGACGACGACGATTACAGTAGGAATGAATGTGCTGCGCTCACAGCGTTGGCGTCCACGTCGCTGTGAACCGCCACCGTCGTTATCCCCATTTTCTTGCATGTTTTAATCACCTGCATACACACAGACACACACGCAACGCACAGACCAAGGTCCCACGTATAACCTTGCACAGACTGTTGGGGCAAGTGCTGTTTGCGAGCACAATATGAACCGTAGGATTCCAAATTGTGTCAGTCTTGCTTAATGTGAAACACCCCTCGCACACTCACCCGGCAGGCAATCTCTCCTCGGTTAGCGATGAGGATCTTGTCGAAGGTCTGTGGTGACAAACATCGTCATAATTAACATAAACACGATCCCCACTGTTTGAATAAATTACAGATAATAATTTACAGGCCTTTGTCAATCCACTGCTCGATTAAGGCCTCCCCATGCCATGTCAGTCATTCAATTATACTTGACCACTCTGGGCAATACATTTCGGTGATGGCAACTGCCACGGATGTTATCCATCGCTGGGAATCGAGCTTGGGGTGCTGGGTACATAGTGAAGTGTGCTAACCACTGCGCTCTTAAACTGACCATCCTACCAGTTAAAAGAATAATAATTTCTCCCAAACGTTATGCAGATTGCTTCACCGGAATTGCCATGAGATACCATTCGGATCTCTCACAGAGAAGCGGAAGCGGACATCACATATCGTCAAGTGACATCCAGTCTACACAGCAGGGGGCAGAACTTTCCCATGCATCCTGACGCTTAGCAGTAATTCTCCCATGACATGACACCTGAACCGATCTTTATAATTCAAAAACTGGAATTCAGCAAAAATTAAATGCAATCTTTTTTTTGTACGCGACAACGTACGGTTCACCTGAAGCAATGGAACCGGAACGTAGCGAAGAAGCATGCATAAACGTCCCTCGACACGCGTCGCAGGCAGACAGAACGGAGCCCTCACCTTCTCACTGGGGTCGTGGGTGGCTGTGTAGATGGTGCACGCTCGCAAATATGTGACGCAGCACGGCAACCGCAGACACTGAGCAGGGGGAGCAATACCGACAACAGACATTCGTCAACTGTTTGCATTCATCGTTAACGTCGTCATCACCACCGTCGTCGTGATACGGATACCACCACTACGTACCTGTCAACCCCTTACCAGTGCCCTACCTTATTACAGACCAATTCAGACCTTACTGGTCACCCCGTGCCGCTATGAATCTCAACGTTCATCCCACAAAGTCCAATCACAAGTGAGAAACACAAATAGACAAGGCACTAATCGCACGGAAACACAACACCGTTATATTTAATGTTGCCCGTATTGAAACGGCCGTACGCCGTTTGGACCTGATAACTCAATTTCCCTTACAAGAATAACGGGAAACCGTGTGGGTTGACAAGAGAGCATCATCGAGTCACCAGACCCATCCACAAGAGGATTCTGCAGAGGGAAGTTTATTTTAACGAAATCCCCCGTCGTGCATGCAGTCAGCTCCCTGTACAAAGCCAGGTTCAAGATCTTCCTCTTCCCTGCCAATGAATGTCTGTCCCCTGCTCCCTTACAAAATAAATATTCCCACGGTTCCTTTTACAAAGTCTTGAGAAGCAAGGGCATCTAAATCCAACTTGCAGTGGTAGTGGATCAATAATTATTCTGAAATTGTACGATTATCATTTATTTATGTCGGAAAGCATCACCGAGTCTCAGGCATATTTTAGGAGCATACTGCATTGGGATATTTAATTGCGTTTGGCTTCATGTGGAAGGAAATCTTGAGAAAACCTTTCACACATAAGAGGAGTTTACACTCAAAAGATCCATTATATACACACTTGCTGACAAACCCACTTGCTGTACTTGCTGTACATACCCTAGTTATCTCACTGCCACTAACCCCTGCCTTAAAAGTGGTGGATCGCAGGCATGCGTCATCACGCCCAGTGTGGAGTAATCAGGAGTGGGGAAAATAATCTTGTGTTAATTGCTCAAGGTCATGACCGCCACCCTATGTGAACACACATGCACAGGCATGTATACAAGCACACAAGAGACACCTACTTATTAGCGACAAATACCAACACACAGATACAAACACGCACACATACATACAGACACAATAATCACGTACGCACCCATGTAGTGCCGAAATGCACACACACAAACACACATGGTCACACAAAGACGAAGACCCCCCCGTATAGCCGGTTAACAGACTGTTGGGGCAAGAGCTGTTAGTGAGCAACTTCATGAAGGCTGGCACGGCACACGAGGGGGTGGGTGGCCAGCACCACGCCCAGCCGCCTTTGTCTCCCTAGTGGCGATGTTTGCACACCGCACCAGGTACTCATTTGAGGTTGAGTCGACCTAGGGGAGGCCCAGGACCAGTGCAGATAATCATCACTGGTATTGGTCATGAGCGGGAATGGAAGTTGGGTGGCCGGGTTCGTAGTGCTGTGCGCTAACCACTACACTACTGCTCCCCACATCACACACACGAACACGTGATATCACAAACACATGTGCACACGCACGCACAATTACTACGTAAACATTGAGTCGAGCCAAGGGCAAGAGGTCATCACAGCCAATGTCGCCGATGCCGTTGCACCCATCGCCATCCCTTCTTTCATTCTACCAGATCCCTCAGCCCTTTCACAGAGTCAACACCTGCCATCCAACAATCGGGAAGAATTTCAAAGAATTTCACAAGCTGGGAATCCAATCCGCCGAAGAAGCAGCCTTCGTTCTGTCGGCTCGTAGACTCTTAACACTGTGCTCTCAAGCAAAGGCACTAATCGTACGGAAACACAACACCGTTATATTTAATTTATTTTCTAACTAACTTGCCTGGTGGTCGTGGGTTCAATCCCGACCCTCATGCCTGTATATTTGCAGTTTGTGTGTTCTCCCTGTGGTCGTGTGGATCCCTGCACATTTAGAAACATGCGTTTAAGAGTATTTGGCTGTTAGAAATGTACACAAGATAAGCCACTTCGTTCAGCAATAGTTTGTGGTCAGGTCGCTTCTGAAAAAGACCTATATAGCTCTGTGGGTCTTTGCTGGTAAAATACAAAAAAATGTTTACCAAGTAAATATTTTTTTGTATTTAACTCAAAACCTATGAAGATATTTTTTTTGCGAATGGCGTGGATTAGCTGTGTGGTGAGTGTCTTTGCCGAGTGGTTGATGTGTGGTCTAGTTCTTGTGAAACTTTGTGAAGTCTGTTAGACACAGACAGACGCATTTCTGGGGAAGAGAATGATAGGACTGAATCGTTCTTCATGTTATGCCAAAGCGTAGCATTCATGGACAGCTCTGCCAAGAACATTGGGCAACTCGGCACTATTTGTTGACAAACAGTGCATAGGCGATCTTCGGGCCTACGTTTCTATAAAAGGTGCCGTAAGTCGAAACGACGCAAGTCGAGACGGATTTTCCCAGAGAAACAATAATCCTGACAAAGGGTCCGATATGCAACTTTTTAAATATTAGAATACAAACAGCCTATTTAAACTACAAAATCATATATAAGTGTTTGGAAAGTTCTTGCCTCGATTCTTCTTAATTCCTGGCTTATTTTGGACTGAATATTTGCAGTCAAAGTGGGGGGGGGAAATGCTGCAATAAATCCGCAGGTGAAGGAACAACCTTCATCATCAGGGTCATCACTTGAGCAGCGACCTTTTCCTTTTTTCACGAGCCATTTTTAAGGGCCGAATTAAATTACAAATGCTTTTTAAAAAATCTCACTACGAATGCACAGAGGTTTAGCAGCGGAGAGCCGCGTCGGGAGACAGCCCGACTGGGCGACGTTCCGCGCCCTGGTCTGTCTGTGTGTGTGTGTGCAGAACCGACGGCTGAGTGCAAGTGCGGGTCCTACCGGCGATAAGTAATAATGGGCGGAAATTAGCAACCTTGCTTTGAGTGCGGATCGACTTAAGTCCAGGAGCTGCTTTGCTGTATTTGTTTAACACGCTTGACTCTGCTGATATGATGCCCACCACTGGAAATGAAACCAGACTAGGGTCACTACTTAAACAAAATGTCACCGCTCCATCTCCTCGGAAGATGTTCCCTTTAACGTTTTCCATTCCTTGGATCCCACTTCATCCTTGACCAACGACCATTCATCCCTTCTGCGGATGTGTCCTGTTCAAGACAAATTATTTGACGTAATTAACCTGTGTATGCGCTCCAATCCCCAAGTTCCTCAGTCGCTCAGCGTTTGTTTTTCACAGCATGCATTCTCTCCATGCTTCTTTGCACAATTTTGGTTCCAGGTTTGTTGGTAATCGCTATGTTTCTGTAGGTTACGATGGGTAGTACACACTGATAAGGCAGCCGTCTATCCCCACATGTAGACATTTTAAGAAGAAGTCCCTCCATTGTTATCAAACTTGTCTCCGATTTGAAACGCCACTCAATTAAAAGGCAACAATGTATTCCTTTTGCCAAAGAGACCTAGGTTAAGGATTTAAAATCATTACACAGGGGGAAAAAACTTCATCTTGAGGGTGACTTGCCAGCAATCAACTTAAGGTTAAGAGTTCGACGTATGGTTAAGAATTGTGTAACGGACACGGCTAGGACAACAAGCGTATACAATAGAGGTCGTCACCGAATAGCTTTGGCGAACAATGTCACCTTTTCCAGACTTTGGAATGTATATTTTGTTAATTTCTTCATTAAGATTTTGACAGGTAATGGCTTCTGTTTGACGATTGTAAAGGTCACAGACCACGACACAGAGTTGGTTGATCACCAACAAGAATGTTACCGAGGGTCTTTATAAGTTGACAATCCAGCCCACGTAGAAATAGGAGGGCTTTTCTTCGGATGTTTGGACAATTCCTACTTCGAGTGTTGGTGTTTAATGTGGAATGAAACTGCATAATTGCCCCGAGAAATCCCATGCAATACGCGGATTCCATCCCACAACAGAGCTGCTGTGCGAACCGCGTTGTTGAAGAGGACAACCCCTGCAACCCACTTTCTGTACTATCAAAAAAAATCACGTTTAAGTACCCCCCAACTCACACTGCTGATCATTCAATCACGGCCAAACGCTTAACTTGTGAATTAAATTAATTACAATAATCGAATACTCTATATCAGAAAAGTTGACATTGATACACCGCTAACACAGACGTTCCGTGTTACTTTGTTTTAGCTTACACGGTGATGTTTTTCCCCGTACCTCCAGAGGAGATTCTCAAGTTAAAAATTCTCAAAAAAAAAACCCCCAAGGCATCACGTCTCGCACTGTACAATCAGCTGCAGGGTTACAGTGCGTCGCGCTCGATGACAAGGGTTCAAATCCCACCGCTCGCTTCAAATATTTTTTTTTATTAGACATTTTAAACATTCGTTGAACGCCACTACTTTTCATCGAGACGAACACCTGGAGAGTTTAAAGACGATTTTAAAATAAATGTTACTGTTTGCGTTTTACCTGAGTGTGCCTTTGCAAGTCCCACCGGCACGAAGACGCGACCCTGAGGGCGGCCATGCTGATGTGACGTCACGGGGGGTGGGGGGGGCCTCTGGCCAATCAGCTGCGGCCGCGGCTAAACGCCTATTTATATATTTATTTTCCTATGACCACGTGGACATGCGGGGCGGGGCGGGGCGGGCAGCGTCCCCCTCCCCCCTCCCGTCTACGGATTTTATTGGGAAGCAGAAGTTATCTTCCGGAAGCGGTTTGTATCTTCCGGAAGATATCTACTGCATTTGAAAACCCTTGAACCAACAATATGAAACTCTGTTCCCGTTTCATATTCTTGGTTCTTTCGGTAAAGTCACGTAGAAGGGAAATAATAAAATAATAAAATATTAAACTATACAATTCTCACGACGTTTCATCATCAGGTGTGAAAACCAAGAATATGAATCCCTGCAGTCACGAAAGCTTTAAAACGAAATCTTGTTCCCGTTTGTTTGGGAAATAGAAGACGACTTCTGAAAGATGACCTTACAAAACACTTTGTTTAACTGCCTACTGCTGAAGTAGGCAGTTTTTTCTTGCTGTAGTTGTCCCACCTGATGACGATTGCTTGTGTTGCGATCGAAACGTCGTGATCTCTTATTATTTCTCTACCTACCACGTGACTTTACCGAAAGAACCAAAGAGTATGGATTCCTGCAGTCACGAAAGCTTCAAATAATCAAGATTTAAACACAAGCTGTTTAAATAAAGAAATTCGTTTTCAATCTAGATCATTTAAAAGTGCATAGCTCCAGTGTATTCCTAATACTGTATTGGAAGGAAGAACGTTCCAGACGGCCGCAGAAGCGCATCTGAAGGCGTGCGATGCGGTGACACGTTTTTGTTCGGGGGCGAGCCAAATTCCGCCGCTGCGAGGATGACAAGATCAGCAAAGTAAGGCCCACTGATCTATATAGCACTTATGCAGAAGCGACCTGCCCACAAATGAGAGCCCAATGGAATGGAGGGCAAGGGTCGGGAGGACCCCACATGAGCCCACGGTTCTCACACCCGAGCCTCCCGTGACAACCATCATCGTCATCCACAATACACCGACTCCTAAAACATGTCTAGGTCTGTCTACATTCCTATGGCGGGAGTTTGTCCAGTATCAATAAAGAACACGTTTTGATTTAAAAAATATGATCATCGCCCGAAACCTTTAATTCTTTTTTCATTCTTTTAGTAATGGGTCGCACAATCGGAAGGGCGCGAGTTCAAATCTTGGTTGTGGATAAAATGAAAATCACTATTGCAAAGTCTACAGTGGTTGTACAGTACAATGGATAGATTCGCCCACATAATAAAGTGGAATTTCCTTCACTGGCTCAGGAATGCAAAGAAGAGCATTATTAAATAATTATTCAGGGCATTCAACCTGATGACACGAGCATAGAATGTGCACAGCGAGTAAATAATCGATCATTACACGCACAATTCGATGCTGATTTCATTCGCGACAGAATGATCTCTTAATCGGTCCAAACCTACGTGTACAGGAAGGACAACATCCATCAAAACAACCGCCCAACCGAAACCCATCCAAACCCCCTAAATATGCCAAGGTTGAGCCAATGTTGGCATGTGGTTGGAATTGTTGGACCAATGTTGGCCCAACATTCCGTGTTCACCAGGGAGTAGTTGGCTTGTTTAAACAAGTGCTGCTGGATAATATGGGTCTGCAAAGCCGAGAGGCTGATCAAAATCTCGCCACGGAGGTGAGATGTTAACTACCTCGCCTAGTATACACGAAGTCGTGGGTTCGATCCTGACCACTGACACCTCTATATTTGGAGTTTGCATGTCTCTCTCCCCGTGGTCGCGTGGATGTTTCTCCGGGTTCTCCGGTTTTTCCAGACATTTAGAATCAACGTCACGCGTTCAGAGTCTTTGGCTGCAATACATTTCTACATGATAAGCCACTTCGTTGAGCTTTCATTTGTGACAGGTCGCTTCTGAAAAAAAGAGCTACATAGCTCAGTGGGCCTCACCGAGTAAAATAACAAAAAAATCTGGCTGTCGCCTGAAGCTATTTGTAATTAGTGGCGAAATATCGTACTCAGATATTTTTTTTATTGTGGCTTTGCTCTCCAACACACCGATGTTCAAGTTTTTTTTCAAGTTCAAGTTTCATTTATGAGGTATAGCCCTGTGAGCCATGCGGCTCTTTAGTCGGGTGCAACCGCAACAAACAAAATATGAATCTACATTGCAGAAAACTATTACACCACAACCAGACCAAAATAAAGCTACAAAAACAATGTAACAACAGTAATCATAGGAACTGTGATTTTAAATTTAACAATAAACGATATACATAACACGTACGACAAAAACCTGCAGCCATAGCTGGCAGCACGGCACTCCCAGTGTATGATGTGTGAGTGAGTCAGCAGCAGCGTGAGTGAGTGTATGATGTGTGAGTGAGTGTATGATGTGTGAGTGAGTCAGCAGCAGCGTGAGTGAGTGTATGATGTGCGAGTCAGTGTATGATGTGCGAGTCAGCGCACGATGTGTTAGCGCATGATGAGTGAATCAGTGTATGATGTGCGAGTGAGCCAGCACACGGTGAGCGAACCTGTGTATGATGAGTGAATGGGTCAGTGGTTGTGCGGGTGTATGATGTGTGAGTGAGTAAGCGCATGATGAGCGAGTCAGTGCATAATGTGTGAGTGAGTAAGCGCATGATGAGCGAGTCAGTGCATAATGTGTGAGTCAGTGCATGGTGTGAGTCAGTGTATGATGTATGAGAAAGTCAGTGTCGACTCCCTCTGCTCGCGCCGTTGCCCCCCCCCCGGCTCCGTCGCCCCCCCCCCCCCCCCCCGTTAAGTTCACGTGACAAACCTTACTAATTGGCTGTATCGGGTGGTGGCGGGTTTAACGACACATTTAGATATTTACGCGATCTAACCCAAAAAAAACCCTGACTTATGGAAAATAAAAAAAAGTTTTTTGTCAGCTCAATGGGGATTATCTCCCTCTTCGTGGCGGCAGACATCCTCTGGAGGGCAGTAAAAAGCCCTCTTCTGGAAGAGGCAGACAGGACATCCACCGCACGTGGGAAGTGGCCCGGCGCGACCCCATGGAGAACGCGGCCAATGGGAGCGCGTGGCGCGTGCGTGGGGCCACGTCCCCCCCCCCCCCCCCGCGTGTGAGGTTGGGGTCACGCGGGGACACGAACGCTGGCACCAGATGCTGCAGTCGCTGGGACATTATTAGCATCCGCGCGTGCGTGCGCGCGCGTCCGTCAGAGACAGGGTCAGTGAGTTTGTACCGCTGAGATTCTGGGTCCCAAAGGTCTGGGGTTGTCTGTGGCAGGGTTGTTCATAATGGCCGTGTTCAGTTTGTAGCGGCTGTGAGCACAGCTGAGGTTGTGAGCTCTGGGTCTGGGTGCTTTCAGGGGGGCCGTATTGGCCGTGTCAGAGACACTGAACCCAACACCTCCTGAGACCTGGGTTTGATTCCAGGGTTCAGTCCACTTTGGTTAAAACAGGTTGTCAGGTGTAGTGAGTTGACTTAACCTTGTTATCAATGAACAAACACAGTACTAAACTAATTCAGGTTCAAGCCCTAGGTCTGGGTTTCATAATACCAGTGAGGGATCATCATGTCCGTTGAGTTCATAATTTTTGTATGGTATATCCGCAACTGAGACCCTGGGTTCCATCCCTAGCGGCTAGGCATCTGCCTTGAAAGGGTTCATAATGGTCGTGTCGGAGACCCTACATTGAAACTCTCTCTGTTAGCCTGATAGTACCATTGAGACACAAGTTATTTAAAACTGTTTACAAATATATTTTATATATGATGTCCTGAAGTGTACAGGACAGAGCAGGTTTTCTCAGTAACGTCTGACCACATAAATTGCATTGTCAATGCCCTGATTTTTACGAGCAAGAGCATTAACTCCTCGACTTAGCACTATCAGTACACTAATAACACATCTGGGATTCGTTCAATTTTTTGTTGGAGTGGCAGCCAAGGAATTTAACTCGTCCGAGAAGGATATCCGCAGAGGAGATGAAGTGATGAAATCAGCTCGTGTGCAGGCATTACGCAGATCATTGCATCGCACGATCGGGAGAGATGTCGGTTCATACTCTTTGGTTCTGTTCGGTAAAGTCACGTAGGTAAAAAATAAAACAACAAAAATCACGACGTTTCGGCCACAACACAAGCGGCCTTCATCAGGTGAAGGGACCAGACTGATGAAGGCCGCTTGTGTTGTGGCCGAAACGTCGTGATTTTTTTTTATTTTTTACCTATGTGACTTTACCGAATAGAACCAAAGAGTATGGATCCTTGCAGTCACGAAAGCTTCAAATCTAAAGATGTCGGTTGCTTGGGGGGAGACCTTCATCCAGCAGTGGATTGATCACGTTTGATGATGAGAATGATAGCACAAAGACGGCGTCTGATGACGACGCTACTGGGTACCCTGGACTGTGACGGGCAGGCGCAGGAAGTCGTGAAACACATGCGGGCGAGAGAAAAAAATATATATAATCTGAGCGGTGTGTAGTCAACACTTAAAACGATGTTTGTACTTCGGTATATCCTCGTGACCATAAATATATCATAAATACATCAAGTCGTTTAGAGGTGACTCGGTGGCTCAGAGATCCTGAGCTCAAATCTGGGTTTCCACTGGCTCTGATTAAACATCAAGTTCTCTCCCCCCCCCTCTCTTTTCCCTTTTACTGACTCCTAGCACAGCCATCATCCTACATTACAAAAAAATGAATGTCCGACCGCCGCGATTTTTCTGTGTAAATGAGACAACAGATGATCTCCCCCCCCCACTCTCCAGCGGGTTGTCTCTCACTCCCCGTCAATCAGAACGCATCGGCTACATAGGCCACGGTTATTTTTGTTCGTTACACAACGTTCTGCTAAGGGCCCTTTGTGCACAGTGTGCAGCAAAATTCTCATTGAAAATATTTTAAAACAAAAGACGCGTTCTCAAGTGTCGTGAACTTATGGTCTGTGCCCAGTCACCAATGACACGCATAGAGAGACCCGTAGACTTGTCCTTTATAAAGAACTGGATACTTGCACGCCTGTATGCTTGCAGA